AAGTGATAACGTGGAAGGAAGTGCCCTAAGAAGCTGATAGGGGAAACCGAGACAGACTCTAAGGAAAACATTAACACTATCAGCATTTGAGGCTATTCGCAATGTACTTAAATATAAAAACGTTTGATAATCTGAAAACCACTGACAAAATGTCAGCTACCTAATGGCCATTTTTAAATAACAGGAAAATAAATAATCCACTAACACTACATTTAAAAGGACTTGGTCCCATTTATTACTCTGTGAATTCCAAGAAAATTTTATGGAAGTCTGTTGGCATATTTACACACACCAAAGCAAATCAAGAACTTACTTCATCCTCCCAAATCTATTACTATGACTACTGTGACCTACTAATGTGATCTATCCCTTGGATATTTAAAAACAATAGGCTACAAAAGAAAATTCTCTTTTAGCATAGAACCCAGTCATCCAAGGAAATAACTCACATTTGTGCCAGCTGATCTGGAGACAGGGAAGCGCTCCAAAATTACTAACATCATCCAGCATTCTGGGAAGCAACTGCATTGGATCAGTTAGAGCAAAATAAGTGTTCATCACCATAAAGCAGTGGCATTTAATAGAGAAGGACCTCGGATACTTGCTTAGCAGATTTTCTTCCTGTGGCCCACAAGAATTAAGTGGCAAACAAACTAATTCCTGTGGCAAACAAACCAGTGTTCTCACATGTATTAGCCAACGTCACCGCAGAGAGCAAGAAGTCCTTTGATGTTGCAACTGTTTTCATATTTTTGGCTTTCTCAGTAACTGAAGCATGAACTGCACCAGCACCACCAATATAAACACCCATGCTGCAACTCAATCTATATGGTCAACATTGCTGAAGGGTTTGGCCTCAGCAAAACTACAGGACACAGCCTGGTGTTGTAGGTGCCTTGAAGGAGAGGGCTCACTGACTGCAGTGCCCTTTCCAGGCTTTTAAGACCAACAAATTTTCCAAGTACCTAAACATTCAATCAGAGCCTACTGATATCTTCAAAGCTCCAAGAGCACTTTGTAACAACTTATTCTGAAACAATGTTCCCATGTCACTGAACATACACTAAGAGCCAAAGGGAAAAAAAAATAAGCGTGTAAAAAAAATACCTAACATCAATATTTAAGATAGCTCCACTTTTTAATTCCCTTAAACTAAGGAAGCCCGGTCAAAGATGGGCAACTATCTAAACTGGCTTCATACACCGTGTTACTAAATGTAGTAAAACAGATCTTTCAGTTGTGTGGTTTAATTTCGTTATGATTTACTTAATTATCTTTTAGGGTTTTTTTTTTTTTTTTAAAAAAAGCTTACTATGAAAATATTTTGTTGCTATTATTCCTTCTTTAAAAATAGGATCACCTTATATGATAAGAATGAGCTAGTAACTATTCCATCAATATGAAAAACTCTATCCATTAATTTAACTACAACAAATATCAAGAGTCTGTTCTTAGAATTCTTTTTTTTTTTTTTTTTAAACAAAGCCTAATAAGGTAATTCTCAGGAAAACGAGAAGGTGTACTTCTCAAACCAGATTGTATAATTTGGCAATTGCATCTTTCCTTTCCTTAGTGGAAAAAGCAATACTCTTACCATATGAAGTCACTTTGAAGGCATCCCAAATAAAGGACTGAAGACAGTAAGGACATTAATTTATTCTGAAGAAAGAAAAGACTACTCTGTAAAAGAATGTAGACTGCAAAAATCATCCAAGAGGCAGCAGTTAAACCTTTCTTGGAACGGTTTCAGTTGAGGAGAGAATGGACATCAACTGAATATTGCATAACAGGTGAGAGAGACGAGCACCACCAAACGGAAAACTATTATAACAATCCATTCAAATGCAGATTCTTTCCAAACCGAGGTTTTAAAGAGAGAAGAAAGTTGTGCAACATTTGTGTTTTTAAAGCCTCCTTCCTAAAATTCCTAATAAAGCAAAGGACAGTTAAGTGAGAAGACTGTCAAACAGTCTAACAGTTGTGACACAAAATATTAGGTGATGGTCAGGGTGGAGTTGACATTAGCAGAGATTGTGCTTTGGGTTCCTCCATCATGGTCATTCCAAATAACTGTGGAGCGCTACCTACTCATTCTGCAAGCAATCCTGACCTGCCAGCTTTAGCCAAGACAGGAGATAGATCAGGATAAGGATCAAGGAAATAGAAATACGAGCTTACTACAGAGGAGAAAGTTTTCTCTAAGAAATGTCACCACTGATCATGAAAGGCAATTAGCACGAAGCAAGCAAGCACCACACTGCTTAGCAGCTCTCCACTGTGTCCATGCAGTATCCGTTGGATCTACACATTGGATAACGGATTTATCCAGCTGCTTTTTAGGGATCTGCAGAACTCCAATGAAGAAGCAGAAATGTGTATTAGATGGTTAAACTAAATTTTTGGAGAAGGAAAAAATCAAAACAAAACAACTAAATAAAATTTAAGGCATTCTGCAAAAGACCTTCAGACGAAAATGGTTGTTTGCTGTGAAACATAGAAAACAGCCAAAACTAAGCCACGAGCTCCCAGTTTATAAACATTTGCAGGAAATACTAAAATCCCTCTGTAAAATGGTTATCTTGAAACTAGAAGCCTAACATTTTATAACCCATAATAATCCTGCTTAGAGGTTAGCTGGAACAGCACCACACAGCCTCAGTAATATGTAATTGTAACTATGAAAAGTATTTTTCTCAAAAGGTCCTGCTAAGCCTAAAACAACATCTGATTCAACTACTTACATCTTTAAATTCTTCCTAGTGTCTAGCACTGCTGGAGAAGTAATTTTTGTGGCAGGCCCAGCCAAGGCTCTGGACAGTAGAAAAGCACCGTAGCCTTATGTGTATTGGTAGGCAATACCAAGCTGCCCACAAAGTGGCAAAAGAGGATTTTGCCAGATTGCAGGAATAGTAAATCTAAAAGTCTGGTAGAATGAGGTGGCCAAGAGCAGGGACTGCAACTGGGAGAGGCCAAAATGCAAAGAAATGGAGACAAGCTTTCTCCTACCTGACTGCAATGCAACCACAGCAAAAACCCAGCTCCCTGCGCAGAGCCTTCGTCACGACCAGCCCGGCAGCACAAACGCCCCGGCGGGGGCTGCTGGCACCGAGGCAGCTTCTGTTGACAGAG